TGCCCAGCTCTCCTAGAGTAATTGCCTGTCTCCTGGAATCTGATCCATGCTCTTGATACTGTGCTGGGAGACACAGCAAAACCTTATGACAATGACACGTATTGATGTGCCATCCTGGAGAAGCTGGACTGCCTGTGCAACCTCTGTAGGGTCCAGGTGTCACCTCATGCTACCAGTAGTGACACTGAAATCTAGCCAAATGCAAAACTAGTGAAAAAACAGTCAAAAAAAGATGAGTAGGGAAAAAAATATCAGTGGCCTCCACCTGTAAAACCATTTCTGTTTTCGGGGTTGTCTCATTGTTGCCCATCTAGTGCACCTGTTGTTTTAATTTAATTAAGACCAAAGCAGCTGAAACTGATTAACAGACCCCTCTGCTACTTAACTGACCAGATCAATATCCCAAGAGTGTAGTTACTAAGATAGGCTCTGTGCTAGTCATATACATAGTTCATTGTAGTTATTCATTGTCATATTTTATATATTATATATTGTAGTTATCCCTAATTCCAGGGAGTATATAAATTTACAAAGTATAGTGGTTCCGTATTCAAGATTATGTTATTATATATTTTTTTTGTAAAGCGATGGTAAACTCCACCAATAGAAATAAAAAATGGTGCCCCTGCTGTATCATGCCATAATGTGCTAGTATGCACTGCGACAGACTTACCTGTCAAACTGAGCCCTCCAGCACTGTCACTGCTCCAGCTGGTCCCAGGGACTTCCATTTCCTCCTGCTTTTCCTCTTCCAGGCTCAGTCTGGCATCTTGAATGGCCAGGTCATGATGATGTCACTCCCGCACAAGCTCACGGGAAATTAATCACTATGGCACACAACAGGTGCTGTAAATGTGGGGTCTGAACTGTATATGTGTGGCTCAGATCACATTACCCGCTGACATTCAGGGGGAGGCATCTATGACAGAAGAGACAGAATAAAGACCCTGCCTACCATCCATCTTTCGAGATTTGACTTAGTACCACTTTAAAGGCAAACAGTGTAAGTATGATTTCGACCTGGTTTCAGTCTCTTTTCAGTCTCCTGTTCAGCACAGCTGAAATTGGAAGAAGGTAGAAGCAGCAGCACATAGTGCCAGTAAGGGGCAAGATGATAGGAGGAGAGAGCTGAGTGACAAATTGATAGATTTATGGGACTCATCAGTCTGCTGTTTCTCCTTTTGCTGTCCAGTCACAGACTGGGGAGGGATAAGATCTTAAGTGTTTCATAACTTCAGCAGACAAACATGAGGTTCCCTCTCCTGCTAGACTATGCTGTTCTGTGTGGTTGAGTAGTGTACATCTCAGGGCTGGATGGACAGAAATATAAATCCTTGTAGGTAGGTAAAACATGCCCCATATGTGTTTCTGTGTATTTACCTGCTTACTGGAGTTCAGCTTTTACTACTAATCTGGGCATCCATCACACAACTTAAAGGGAAAATACATTTTTGGTAAAATAGATACAGTATGTTTTATATATATATATATATATATATATATATATATACGGTATATATAGGACGTAATTGCTGTGCAAATCAATAAAGTGTTAATGAAGCCACAACAGTAAAATCAGTCTGTATATGCAGTAAAGCATGCTTGTCATTTTACTTCACTGGGGAACCTAAGGAGTTAATCCTCCGCATTGTGTAAAAAGGTTGTTTGATCTTGTCATTTCTGATCCTCCCCTTTTTATGCTGTCCCCCAATCCCATATGCCATAGTACAGAGCAGCAGTGGTAAGTCTGCACATGCTCTGTTTTGTGTGTATTGGTAGAGAGTTTTTTTAAGGGGGGATGGGTGCATATGTGATTGGCACAGGGCCAATCAGCACTGTCCGGACACAGAGGGTAAGGGGTCATGCAGCCTCATAGGTCAGAGGAGAATGAAAAACTCCTCCTACAAGATTAACCAGTGCTTGGCCAGAAACTGATAGAGGTCACAAGACAGCTACAGTGGGGATCGAAAGGTTTGGGCACCCCAGCTAAAAATTTGTATTAATGTGCATAAAAGAAGCCAAGGAAAGATGGAAAAAATCTCCAAAAGGCATCAAATTACAGATTAGACCATTCTTATAATATGTCAACTAAAGTTAGATTTTATTTCCATCATTTACACTTTCAAAATAACAGAAAAAACAAAAAAATGGCGTCTGCAAAAGTTTGGGCACCCTGCAGAAATTTATAGCATTGCACTGCCCCCTTTGCCAAGCTGAGACCTGCCAGTGTCATGGATTGTTCTCAATCATCGTCTGGGAAGACCAGGTGATGTCAATCTCAAAGGTTTTAAATGCCCAGACTCATCTGACCTTGCCCCAAACAATCAGCACCCATGGGTTCTTCTAAGCAGTTGTCTAGAAAACTGAAACTGAAAATAGTTGATGCTCACAAAAGCTGGAGAAGGCTATAAGAAGATAGCAAAGCGTTTTCAGATGTCAATATCCTCTGTTCGGAATGTATATTAAGAAATGGCAGTCATCAGGAACAGTGGAAGTTAAAGCAAGATCTGGAAGACCATGAAAAATATCAGACAGAACAGCTCGCAGGATTGTGAGAAAAAACAATTCAAAACCCACGTTTGACTGCACGATCCCTCCAGAATGATCTGGCAGACACTGGAGTTGTGGTACACTATTCCACTATAAAGAGATACTTGTACAAATATGGTCTTCATGGAAGAGTCATCAGAAGAAAAACCTCTTCTACGTCCTCACCACAAAAGTCATCATTTGAACTTTGCCAAATGAACATATAGACAAGCCTGATGCATTTTGGAAACAAGTTTTCTGTGGAGACCCGATGAGGTTTAAAATTGAACTTTTTGGCCGAAATGAGCAAAGGTACGTTTGGAGAAGAAGGGGCTGTCAGGAATGGACTGGCCCAGCAATAGTGGGGACTCAGGCTGCCTTATGAGCTGCAGTACCAGGGCTGGCCAGCGGGTGCTCCCAGCAATCAGAGACTCTAACCTTGCAGCCAGTCAAACACCTGGAACTAATTATACTGGTGTATTAAAGGGACATTCAGACCTGCAAGACTCTGCCTTGGTGTTGTGTTTCTCTTGGGCCTGTATCCTGTTCCTGCTCTGTCTGTTCCTGTCTGATTCTCTGCTGACCTGCTCTGATCCTGGCTTGTCTGACCATTCTCCTCTGCCTGACCCTCTGTACCATGCTGCCCCGCTACCTGCTGAACCCTGGCCTGTGACCCCGACTATTCTCCGCATTGCTCCCCCTGTACCTACCTGCCCGACTGATATTGACCCAGCCTGCCTGACGACGCTTTGCATTGTATGTACTGTTATCTTGTGGGGTGGTTGGTTGGGTTTGTTTGCCATTGTGTTATGTTTTAGTATTGCACTGCGTTTATGTTTGTATGGTATAGTGTTAATAAATTACATTGTTTATAACATATCTGTAGTCTGCGTTTCCCTGAGTCAGTCACACACCTCAGGTCATACCCGGAGCCCTGACATTACACCAAGGCCAATCCTGACCAGAAGTGGCTGCACAGGGAAGCCATCTTTGGCTTGTTGATGGAAAGGATGGATCTGGATGAGTTGTGTATTTATATCTGCTAGTGTTATGATGACAGGGAGTATGCTTAATCAAACTCTGAAGGAGTATCCCCCGGGATGAACTGCTAGAATGTATACGGCTTCGCTCATGTTCTAGTAGATCAAGGGCACGAGAGTTCTCTGAGGTGCAGCCTTTGAATTGAGGTTTGTGCTGAGTTAGGTTTCATCTGGTAACCAACCCCGAATGCAATGGATGAAAATTTTTGGCCACCATTTAGTGCAGGACCAGGTAGAGTCCCTGGTATGGTTATTAGAGAAGATGTGGTTACTTTACTTTCTGGAACGTTATTCCACATTGTCAGACCACATGACATACTAAGAGATTGTATAAACGCAGTTGCAGTCTTTTTTTGGTCAGACAGGCTTTGTGGTAAGCTCAGCATGTTCAAAACCCATACAGTCAGACATGGACAGACTTGTTGCAACACCAGCATCAGTCAGCATACAACAACCCCAGTCCTGCTTCGTAATCTATTTCCTCAAAACTCTATTCCTGCATTCCCCACAGCTCCTCCTGCCCTGTTTCTATCTAACCGGCAAGTCAGTAACCCTGTATCCCACTCGCTGCTGGCAACCTATCCTGGGCCTATAACCCTGTAAAAAAGCCCTCTGAAGCAACTGTTTTGTTACCCTCCTTCTTTTCTCCCTCCTCCAGCTCTTCTCTGTCTCCCAGCGGCCGCCATTCGTTCGCAGAACCTGCGTTTACTTGCAGTGCTCCAGTAGTTTAAAAAAACCCAGAAAAAAGACGAAAATTCATTTCCAACCACTACCATCCTGCCAGTATCCAAACCGGTGAACATTGCCACTTCCCGTGGTTCAGGCCTGAAGCCTCTAAAAGCCTCTACTCATGCCTTGAATCCTCTACTCAGCCTGATGCCTGTACCCAAGCCTGATGCCTGTACACAGCCTGATGCCTGTAACTCAGCCTGATGCCCTGTACTCAGCCTGAGGCCTCTACTCGTCTGATGTCCTGGACTCCAGCCTGGATGCCTGTAGCGCAGCCTGATGACCTCTCTTCAGCCTGAAGCCTTCTGACTTCCTATCGCGTTTCTCGGGCCTGAAGCCTCTACTTCGGCCTGAAAGCCTTCTATTCCGCGGCCTGATGCCTCTAACTCGGCCCCTGAAAGACCTCTACATCGGGCCTGAATGCCTCTAATTCAGCGTCGTACCCTGAAGCCACTACTTCGGCCTAAGCCTCTACTACGCGGCCTACGCCTCTATTCAGCCAGCCATGAAACCTCTACTCAGGCCTGAAGCCTCTACTCAGCCGGACGCCGGCATTCAGTCCTGAAGCCTCTACCCTCAGCATGATTGAACCTGATCCAGCCTGACGTTCCTATTAAGGCCAGTGGACCCTCGATGCCCGCTGTTGGATTCCAGATGATGCGGTTACCTGATCCGGTGCCCGCTGTCCGTGCCAATTGACTCAGAGCCCGCTGTCGTAAACCTGGTGACTTCGGTGCCCACTGCCCTTGCCAGATGACGCGGTGCCCGCTGGCGAGGACCGAATGACCTGATGCCTGGTGACCCAGTGCCCGCTGTCCATACCTGTGACCCGATGCGCCGCTGTCGAGCCAGACGATCCAATGCCTGGTGACCCCGGTGCCCACTGCCTTGCCAGATGACGCGGTGCCCGCTGGCCAAAGCCAAAAAGACCTGATGCCAGGTGACCCCAGTGCCCGCTGACATACCTGGTGATGACCCGATGCCTGCCTGTCCGAGCACATACGATCCTATGCCTGGTGACCCGGTGCCTCACATGCCCTTGCCAGATGACGCGGTGCCCGCATGGCAAAGCCAAATAGACACTGATGCCTGGTGACACCAGTTGGGCCCGCTGTCATACCTGGTGACTCCGATGCCACGCTGTCGCGCCAGACAATCCAGTACCCTGATGACCTGGTGCCCCACTGTCGTGCCTGTTGACTCGAGTCCCACTGCCTTGCCAGTGACGCGCGTGCCCGCTGTCGAGCCAAATGACCTGATGCCCTGGTGACCCTATGCCCCGCTGTCCCCAGCCAGACGATTCAATGTCTGCCCCAGTTGCCAGCGGTCATCTGCCATTTTGACTCGAGGCCCACTTGCCATGCCAGATGACGCCGGTTGCGCGCTGTCGAGCCCCAAAAGAACTTGATGGCCTGGGTGACCCATGCCCCGCTGTCCAGTGAGCACGATCCAATGTCCTGACCCAGTGCCCGCGCGTCATACCATTTTGACTACTGAGCCCACTGCCTTGCCAGATAGACGCGGAGCCCGCTGTCGAGCCAAATGACCTGATGCCTGGTGACCCGATGCCCGCCTGTCCAGCCCAGACGATACCAATTTGTGACCCAGTGCCAGTGGTCATGCAGTTTGACTCGGAGCCCACTGTTGTGCCTGGAAGACTTGGTGCCCCGCCGCTTCGCCTGGGGCCTGAGACACGCTGTCTCTCCACCTGGGGCAGCGCTCGCCGCCCCGCCAGGGGGCCTGCGACCAGTCGCTCCGCCTGAGGGCCCGCGAAACCTGTCGCTCACCGGGTGGTCCGGCGCCCCCGCTCCGCCTGAGGGCTCCGAGACCTGTCCGCACCACCTAGGGGTCCCGGCGCCTGCCGCTCCGCCAGACGCCCGAGACCTGTCCGCTCCTCCTGGGGTGTTTCCGGCGCCCGGCGCTTCCTGCCTATGGCCCGAGACCTGTCCTCCGACCAGGGCCCAAGACCTGTCCGCTCCCGCCTGGGGGCCCGGTCGCCCGTCTGAGGGCCCGAGACCTGTCGCTCCACCTGGGGTCCGGCGCCCGCCGCTCCGGGCCTAAGCCCTAGACCTGTCGCTCCACCTGGGTCCGGCGCCCCGCGCAGCCTCGCTTTCCGCCTGAGCCCGAGACCCTGTCGCTCCGCCATGGGGGTCCGGCGCCCGCACGCTCCGCCTGGGGGCCCGAATGCCCTGTTTGCCCTCCGCCTGGGGGCCCCGATGCCTGTTGCCCCCCCTGGGGCCCAATGGCCAGTTTTTGCCGGCCGCCTGGGGCCCGATGCCTGTCACCCCCCTGGGGGCCCGATGCTGTCGCCCCCTCCTGGGGGCCTCGCGCCCAGCCGCTCTCGCCTGGGGGCCCGATCCTGTCGCCCCGCCTGGGGGGCCCCGACGCCTGTCGCCCCCCTGCTCCGGCGGGCGGGCGGGGGGGGGGGGGGAGGCGGGGGCCCGGCGGGGGGGGCGCCCGCCTGGTGGCGCAAACGGCTGGGGGTCGCCCCTCCTGGGGGCCCCGCGCCCCGCCGCTCCGCCTGGGGGCCCACATCCCGGTCGCCCCGCCTGGGGAACCCGATGCCGGTCGCCCCGCCTGGGGACCCCGATGCCGGTTGCCCTCGCCCGGGGGTCCCGGTGCCTGCCTGCCCCCCCTGGGGGCCCGGGTGGCCTTCTGCCCCGCCTGGGGGCCCGGTGCCCTGCTGCCGCCCCGCCTGGAGGGCCTGGTGCTGCTGCTTCCCCTGGTGCCCCGCTGCCTGCTTGCTTCGCCTGGTAATCCGATGTGCCGCTGCCGGAGCCTCGCCCGAATGTGCCACTGCCCGGAGTCCTGCCCGATGTGCCTCTGCCCGGAATCCAGCCCGGTGTGCCTCTGCCCGGTGTGCCTCCTGCCCGATTTTTTGCCTCTGCCCGGAGTCCAGCCCGATTTCCTCTAGCCCGGGTCCAGCCCGAATGTGCCTCTGCCCGGCGATCCAGCCCGATGTGCCTCTGGCCCCGGAGTCCAGCCCGATGTGCCTCTCTGCCCGGTGTGCCGCTGCCCCGACGTGCTCTCCGGCAATCCCAGCTCCGTGTGTTGCTGGCCCGATGTGCCTCTGCCCGGAGTCCAGCCCGATGTGGCCTCTGCCCGGAGGAGTCCAGCCCCGAGTGCCTCTGCACCGGTAATATTGTGCCGCTGCCCGTGAAGAGTCCAGCCGATGTGCCCTCTGCCCGGAGTCCAGCCCGATTTGTGCCTACTCCCGGAGTCCAGGCCCGATTGTGCCTCTGGCCGGTTGTGCCGCTGCCGGAGTCCTGCCGGTGTGCCAGTCTTTGATATCCCGCCAGTTACCAGACCGGGCGGTGGAACATTTTGCCCAGCTAGGACTGTTTGGAGCGTCCTGAGGCCGCTTCCTTGAGGGGGGGGGGGGGTACTGTCAGGAATGGACTGGCCAGCAATAGTGGGACTCAGCTGCCTTATGAGCTGCAGTACCAGGGCTGGCCAGCGGGTGCTCCCAGCAATCAAGAGGCCTCAACCTTTGCAGCCAGTCAAACACCTGGAACTAATTATTATGGTTTGTATTTAAGGGACATTCAGACCTGCAGACTCTGCTTGGTGTTGTGTTTCTCTTGGGCCCTGTATCCTGTTCCTGCTGTCTGGTTCCTGTCTGATTCTGATGCTGACCCTGCTCTGATCCCTGGCTTGTCTGACCATTCTCCTCTGCCTGACCCTCTGTACCACGCTGCCCGCTACCTGCTGAAACCTGGCCTGTGACCCCGACCATTCTCCGCTTGCTCCCCCCTGTACCTACCTGCCCGACTGATATTGACCCGGCCTGCCTGACGACGCTTGCATTGTATGTACTGTTATCTGTGGGTGGTTGGTTGGTTTGTTTGCACTGTGTTATGTTTTAGTATTGCACTGCGTTTATGTTTGTATGGTTAGTGTTAATAAAATCAGATACATTGTTTATAACATATCTGAAGTCTGCGTTTCCCTGCGTCAGTCACACACCTCTGGTCATACCCGGGAGCCCTGACAGGGGCACAGAATTTAATGAAAAGAACCTCTGTCCAACTGTTAAGCATGGGGTTGGATCAATCATGCTTTGGGGTTGTGTTGCAGCCAGTGGCACAGGGAAACATCTCACGAGTAGAAGGAAAAATGGATTCAATAAAATTTCAGCAAATTTTGGATGGTAACTTGATGCCATCTGTGAAGAAGCTGAAGTTAAAGAGAGGATGGCTTCTACAAATGGATAATGATCCTAAACACACCTCGAAATCCAGGGGGGGATTACATCAAGAGGCATAAACTGAAGGTTTTGCCATGGCCTTCACAATCTCCTGACGTCAACATAATTGAAAATCTATGGATAGACCTTAAAAGAGCAGTGCGTGACAGACAGCCCAGAAAATCTCAAAGAACCGAAAGACTTTTGTAAGGAAGAATGGGCAAAGATACCTCAAACAAGAATTGAAAGACTCTTGGCTGGCTACAAAAAGCGTTTACAAGCTGTGATACTTGCCAAAGGGGGGGGCAGTACAAGATATTAACTCTGCAGGCGTGCCCAAACTTTTGCAGACGCCATTTTTTTGTTTTCTGTTATTTTGAAAGTTTAAATGATGGAAATAAAATCTAACTTTTGTTGACATATTATAAGAATGTCTAATCTGTAATTTGATGCCTTTTGGAGATTTTTCCATCTTTCCTTGGCTTCTTTATGCACATTAATACAAATTTTTAGCTGGGGTGCCCAAACTTTCGATCCCCACTGTATATACCACTGATAAGAAACTGTATTTAGCAGTTTATATTTACTAAAATAATTGCATTTCCATGTTCTGTGTACTGTGGGAGACCAGATATAGTGAATGCAGAGTGATGGGTTTAATAACACTTTATTAAAAACAAATACTGTTTCACATCAATGTGCAGCCTCTGTGATTTACATAAATTGCATTATGAAAACCTGAAGGCTTTCTGAAAACTATATATGAGATATACATTCCTGCTTCTGTTATTGGCTCACTGCTTTTTCCAGAAGTCTCTCCTGAGCTACAATTCCCCTGCAGGATTTTAAATGCACTCACCAGCCACTTTATTAGGATACCTTTTCAATTGCTTATGGTAACACAAATTGCTAATCAGCCAATCACATGGCAGCAGCTCAATGCATTTAGACATCTAAACATGATGAAGATGACTTGCTTAAAGTTCAAACCAAGCATCAGAATGGGGAAGAAAGGAGATTTAAGTGAACATGGCATAGTTATTGGTGCCAGATGGGCTTTTCTGAGTATTTAAAAAAATGCTGATCTACTGGGATTTTCACACACAAACATCTCTAGGATTTACAGAGAATGGCCTAAAAAAGAGAAAATATCTGGTGAGTGGTAGTTGTGTGGAAGAAAATTCCTTATTGAGGTCAGAGGAGAGTGGGCAGACTGGTTCAGGATGATAGAAAGGTAACAGTAGCTCATGTCGATATGGACCAAGATCTCTGAGGAATGTTTCCAACACCTTGTAGAATCTATGCCATGAAGAATTAAGGCAGTTCTGAAGGCAAAAGGGGGTCCAACTCATTACTAGCAAGGTGTGCCTAATAAAGTGGCCAATGAGCCAATGTATACATCCGCTTTAACCACTTCCCGTTCAGCCGTTGTATATAAACGGCTGGACGGTGGCAGTGCAGGGGCGGGTTGCCGTTTCTTAAACGGCGCCCGCCATTTTGGATTGTGTGCACTCCCTGGGAGGGCGCGGCACCACGATCCGGCACACCGATCTCTGAAAGGGACCTCTGTGTGAGGTCCCGATCATGTGATCACTGATTGGCCAATCAGTGATCACATGAATTGGTGTACGCAAGATGTCACTTCCTGACATCATTGCTTACTACGTCTGAAATCTGTGAATGATCATAGAGGTCACATGGTACAGGACTATTCACAACAGCCTTGTACCATGTGACAAGCAGTGACCAATCACAGCTCACACAGTATTTCTCAATGGCTGCAAGAATGCAGCTAGAGAGAAGGAGAAATGATTGCTTTTACAGCCTTTATAGGTGTAAAAGCAATCTGTGTAAAAAAAAAAAAAAAAAAAATCTTCATCACCCCCCACTATGGTGACACTGTACTGCTAGGGTGACAGTATGTTAAAAAAAACAAAAACATAAATAATAATATAAAAGCATAAAATAAAAATGTAAACAAAATGTAAAAAAAAAATTATAATTTTTGGTTATAAACTAATTTGGGTTATTTTTTTTTTTACTAGAAAGATAACTGAATACATGTTGGCCAAGATTTATGAAAAAAGATTATTTATTTGCAAAATGTTATAAGAAAAACACTTTTTTTCAAAATTTTGGGACTTTTTCATTTATATATATTATATTTATAATATATTTATATATTTATAATATTTATATACAAAAAAATAAAAATCCCAGTGGTGAATAAATACCACCAAAATAAAGTTTTATCTGTCCCAAAAAAATGCTAAAAATTAATATGGGTACAGTGTTGCATGACCGCACAATTATCATTCAAAGTGTGACAGCACTGAAAGCTGAAAATTGGCCTGGACAGGAAAGGGGTAAAAGTGTCCGGACATGAAGTGGTTAAAGCTAAGGAGCCCATAGACACAAGGAAAGTGATAGTGAGAACGATCAGTACACTAATATGCACACTTATATTGGTTAATCTTTTATTTATTTTTATTCCTCAATAAAGAAAGCAAATAAAAGACGTACATTTTGCACTTTTAAAAAGTAACATTACTCTAAGATTTTCTGTTAGAATCGGCATTACATGCAAATCCATAACACATTTCTTTTCAGAATGCTTTTACTTTTGCAGATTATTGATTTAGCCAACAGGTCACTCCAGATTGTGTTACTATAATCTGCTGCCTCATCGCATCTCAGGAATTGCTGCTTGGAAGACTTGAAATGATCATAAACAGTTTAATGTGTACTGCTAATGCGCCAGCCATATAACTTGGCTATAATAATGTGTCCTTGTAATAACGATGTAAATACTTCCCAAGTAATTGGATATGATTATGCAGCAGTTAAAATGCATAACATTCTGTTTTTGAAATTTGAAGATAGATAGCATATTTGAGATTCTAGTCCTCACTGTAGTTTTGAAGTCACTGTATTTCTCATGTGTTTTCTGACATCATTTTATGTGCTTGTCACTATGTTAACATGAATGTTCTGACTAGGTATTTTAATAGCCATAATCTTATATTGGGATAGATGCTAGTTTGCAAAAATGCATTTAATTCTACATAATACATCTGTATAACTTCATTGCAAGTAATCAGAATTCAACTGTTAACTGAACTTAAAGTGAGCCTAAATGCCCCATATCGTATATTGCCAAGGAAGCTGCCATCATAGCCTCTGATTTGCAGTTGCCATGGTGTTGCACGTGATCAGTTATGACACCAGCCATTTGATGGCTTGCCAGTTTGGTTGAGAGCCCACGCAAATGTGACAGTTTTCATTCATGGCATGTCTTGAATGTAACTGTTTTTTGAGAAACCATTAAATTGATGGGATTATTTCCACTTTAACTTGATCGGTTGCTATGGGATAATGTACTTCTTGTACCAATTTACCTAAACAATTAAGTGAAAAATGTGACTCTGGTAGTCCAGTAGTGAACTAAGCTAAAGCTGCAAGCAGGAAAGTGAAAAATTATTCAACATATGTGTATACAAATATGCTGCACTGATTCATATACCAAAAAAACATTCAAATAAAATAACAAATTAACATAAATCAGAATTGTGCTAATTATGGACGTGTGTAATTGTAATCCAACATCACCGCATAACAGTCCTTCTGATAAATGTCCGTGAATAAAGCTGTGATACAATCCACCAATCATTATCAAGTCCATATAGACAGTTCAGTTCAGTGGGATCAGATTGTTATAGCAGATACCTCCACCAAACCCCTTTTGGGCACACACCTTATGGATTGAACCTCAAGGTCTTATTGCACCTTTAAATAAATCAATCAGACTCCATAAACCCAGCTCAACTCTCCCAGGGCTCAAGAAATCCACCCCAGAACTTTCACTTGGTAAATACAGCACTCATCTCAGCTCAGGTGAAAAAGCATAGATCAATGCTCAAAAAGATACAAAAACTTACATAGTGCTCCTTGAGGCATTTTTATGAAGAAAGGAAAGAAAAAATGCATTCACACATTAATTGAATAAAATCACAGATATAACTTTAACAACTTCTGCTGCTACGGGGCAGCAGAGCTGTGCAAAATCATATATATATATATATATATATATATATATATATATATATACACATGATTTTGTATTTCTGGGTAGGGGGCTTGCGCACGTGCCACCCTACCCACACCACCATTGGCAGCTTCAGCTGTCGATCACTGGGTCCCGGCCGGAGATACCCCGCCGGCACCTGGCGATCGCTGAGGAACACTGACAGGTGAGATGTCTGTATGTAAACAATACAGATCTCTGCACTGTCAGCACCAGCATGCTGCTTTGTATTGCTCTGCATAGCAAAGCAATACAAAGCAGCATGCTTAATTAGTAAAACAGCACATGGCACATAATGTGAAACACACACACAGCAAACAGTTAACCCTTTGATTGCCCCAGATGTTAACCCATTCCTGCCCAGTATCATTAGTACAGTGTCAGTGCTTTTTTTTAGCAAAAACAAGTAGCAGAATACACTTTGGCCTAAATTTATGATGAAATTTGATTCTTTAAATTTTTTTACTGGATATGTTTTATAGCAAAAAGTCAAAAATATTGTTTTTTATTTTTTTTGTTTATAGCTTAAAAAATAAAAACGCACAAAGGTGATCAAATAGCACCAAAAAAAAAATCTCTATTTGTGGGAAAAAAAATACAGTATTTTCTGGCGTATAAGACTACTTTTTATACTTAAAAATGTACGCCAAAAATTGGGGGTCATCTTATACGCGGGGTATAAAATGTGAACCTTGAGTTTGTTTGGGTCAAGCTGGCTGAATGTGTGGTAATACTGTACATACAGTATACCGTGCTGAGCCAAGCTGGCTCAAAACAAATGTCCCTATGACAGATTAATCTGTCAGCCCGCTGGATGTGCGGTATATACAGTATACTGCGCTGAGCCAAGCGGTTTCAAAACGTACCGGTACGTCCCTACGGTAATCAGACCGCTGGATGCGTGTATGTACGGTAGCTGCGGCTACATACAGTATACACTGGGCCAATCACGGCGAGTAATGTATTCTACTAATGAATACAAAGCCTGCTCGGATTGGCTGAGTCAGAGAGGTGGGCTGATGATGCCACAACCTCAGTCAATCCGAGCAGGCTTTGTATTCATTAGAATACATCGCTCGCCATGATTGGCCCAGCGTATACTGTATGTAGCCTCAGCTACTGTACACACAAACATCCAGCGGTCTGATTACCGTAGGGCCGTACCGGTACGTTTTGAAACAGCTTGGCTCAGTATACTGTATATACCACACATTTGTCATAGGGACATTTGTTTTGAGCCAGCTTGGCTCAGCGTGGTATACTGTATGTACATTACTGCACATCCAGCAGGCTGTATATATATACTGTATACTGTATGTAGCCGAAGCTACCGTATTACCGCACATCCAGCGGGCTGTATATATACTGTATGTAGCCGAAGCTACCGTATTACCGCACATCCAGCGGGCTGTATATATACTGTATGTAGCCGAAGCTACCGTATTACCGCACATCCAGCGGGGTAAATACTGTATCTGCCGAAGAATTTACCGCACATCCAGCGGGCCATATGTGATACCGACGCACATCCAGCGGTAAACATCTGATTTGGAATTTGATCCATATGATGACTGTCTTACAAATGTATCACAAGATGTCGTTCATGAACTTATGATGTCAGAGGATGAACATGAGGATTTTGAAGGATTTTAAGTACCGGTAAGTCATAACCATTTCCATTAAAAAATCTGATGTTTTTAAATGGTGTTGCCTCGGAAGGGGGGTAGTCTTATACGGCGAGTATAGCCCAAAACCTATGTTTTAACTGGAAAATTAGGGGGTCGTCTTACACACCCAGTCGCCTTATACGCCGGAAAATACGGTAGATATAAATTTCTTTCGGGTGCAGCGTTGCATGACCGAGCAATTGTCAGTTAAAGTAATGCAGCGCCGTATTGCAAAAAATGGCCTGGTCAGGAAAGGGGCTAAATCCTCTGGAAGGCAAGTGGTTACAATTGTTCCAATGCTGCTTGAGTGCATGGCTCTAACTTCGGCAATATACAGATACCTCTGGCTTTATGGAAACCTTTCCCTCTTGCAGAGTGCTACCAAGCCATGCCCCAGGCCACACTCTATGCATTTCATCGCTCTGACATCATCAGGGACACCTTATGATGCATTAACTATAAACAGTGCTGGTTACAGCTGCAGCTTGGCCCTATCTTTCCTCTGCTCCACAATAACACTTCATTGCAGTGCACAGGAAATGAAGAGGTACTGCCAGGTGAGCCTTTACAATCCTTCACTATGGCATTATGTATTATAGTGGTATTAAACCCAAAATATAAAAAAGGAATTTATTACAGCTTACCAATCATTAGATGTGGTGGCTGCATTAGGTTTCTTTTTTAGGCTTTTTTTCCCCTTCTGTTTTAACCGGGTTATCTGGCCAGTAACACATTTCCTGTATTATAATGCCTTCACTGTAAATGAAGGCGCAACAAAGACACCTTTGGACTGCAGCATTATCAGTCTGGAGAGGAGGGGAATGTTAGCTGTACCAGCAGATTTAGAAGCACCAACAATTTGGAATCAAACTACAGCTAACACTTTTTAAGACTTTACAGTAGACAGTTTTTTTTCCTTTGGGATAAAAGTATTACATAAGTAAATAAAATATGATCA